ATGTAGTCATTTTACCATAGAATGTAAATATTTACAATAGATCAAAAATAAATTCTTGTTTGTTGCTATTTGAAAATGGAATGAAAGGTTTCTATATATCAATTTATAATATATAGGGAAAGATATACAGGTTGCTGGATTTATTGTAGGAAGCATGCCAGCAGAAATGTTTGAAGATGTATAAGTTTATAAATATCCCTGGACCACATAACCAACAGGAGGCCATACTCACAGCTGAGCCCATGTCTACAATAGTTTTTCTACTATACTTGAAGGAGACATAAATCTATGATGTTAATTTTGATTATTAATTCTATTCAGTTTAGAAATAAATTATTTGGTTGTTCAGTATTAGCAAGACCTTGTTCTTGGTGCCAAGAAGTGTACAGAGAGGAGTAAAATGTGTTACTTACTTTTTAGGAGCTGGAACCTTATAGGGGAGATAAACTATCTTTACAATCTTAACGTAAAATTCATGTAATAAGGGCAAGAGGTCTTGATGAAAACTTCTGTGGGAAAAGGGAGAGATTGTTTTGGACTGTGTCATCATGGAAGAGTTTCATCAGGATAGAATTTGGACTGTTGAAGAAAAGGGAGATGGTAATGAGAATTTATTTGTCCACACACCTACCCATTCATTCATCAAGGAAACATTAGCTAAAAACAGATTAATACAGTGTAATTAAATGGGTCTTTAAACATACTATGTTTGGAAGAAATAAACTGCATAAAAAACATTTGTGAGACATCTAGGGAATTCTGAAACCTTGCTATTTGTTGACAGTAAGGATTTTTAGTTAATTCTTCTTAGTGTGATGATATTGTGCTTTTGTTAAAAATGAAGAAAGTCTATCTTTTAACAATGTATACTGGGGTATTTTTTATGGAATAGATACTTTACATTTCATTTTTAAAAGTTCAGAGTGTGTGGTCTGGAGGGAATGAGTGGAGGGAGTCTAAGTAAAATAAAATGAATAATATGTAGGTAACTGTTAAAGAAAATGTTTGATGCATGCAAGTTTATTGTACTATTTTCTCTATTTTGCCTCCAAAAATATCTTTAAAAGAACTTCCAGGTTCCAAGAAATTAGAGGGAGATAGAAGCGGGAAAGACATGTTACACTTCCCACCATTTTGTGGTGGAAATACCTAGTATGTCACTGTTGTCTGCTCTGCTAATGGTATGATCGATGGATGCTGTCTGAGATGCTCAGGGGCAGCTTGAAAGAGGGAGTGAGTGAGGCTTTACTATTTCAGGAGAATTTATCAGACTTTGTAATTTATTGGGTATGAGATCAAAAGTGATGGGAATTTTGATTTTGAATGCTGGGGGTGACATGTCCACAATGGAGACAGGAAATATAGGAGGAGAAATGGGTTGGGATGAGGATTGGAACAGAGTTCTACTCTGGACCTCCAGAGACTGAGCTACTCCAGAAATGTAGAGATGATAAGGCATTCACGGAAACAGTTCTAGGCAGACTGAACTTCAATGATAAAGATAGGGGGAGGGAAATGCACATACTACATTTCACGGTCCTGCTAGTCTTCAAGTTGATGCAGCATAGGCTCTGAGTGGAAAGTATGGTTGGCTGGAGAGGTAGATGCACTCATTGAGGTCATGTTGGTCCCCATCATTGCCATGGGGCTTGATGAACCTGAAATGGACCAAGTGTTTTAAGTCTTAAGCTCTCTTGTGGAAGGGGATCTTGATGCTCAGGAATGACACTTTCAGAAAACAAATCACTTACCTGAAATAAATAGCCAATTAGGATTGGTAAAAGGTGATTAGCATTCTTCTTTTGTTGTTTTGGAATTACAGTTTATTGGTTTGGATTGTGGGCTCTAGAGCCTCCATATTTTATTTTTAAATCCCGACTCCAAAGTTATTTAGCCTCACTCTTCTCCTCTGTAAGGTAGAAATCATAGTATCTAATATGAGAATAAATCAGATGGTGACTAAAACTACTCCTGATAACCTAAAATTGTCAGTCCTTATGATTCTCTTTTCTCTCTCTCTTCTTCATGGTGCAGGCCTCATGCTAGGCAGATACTCTACCACTGAGCTCTTTTCTTATCCCTCTCTCTATCAGTACTTTTGAAGAGAAGGCAAAGGACTTGATTGCTTTGTGTATTAAATGCTCCATATTTCCTTCCAAGGGGCTTTAAGTTCTACTGAAATTGACTACTGCTTTCCTTATGTCTATTACATTACTCAAAAAAAAAAATAAGTATGCTCAGGTCTGAGATTATGCTATCTGAATCTAACCTGTTATTTATCTTCACACTAGAACATTACAAAACTGTTTTAACACAAACACTCCACTTGGACAAATCCTTTCCTTCTATCTTGCTTATTCAGCAACCCTACCATAGTTCTTTACATGTTTTAAGTGAAACAATGTGTTTCTGAGATCTCCAGAAGTTGAATTCCAATGAAAGAAGATGAAGTGTCAAGAAGGCGAGGTTGGCTTTGGGTGCAGATTTAACTGGGGTGGTGTGAGAGGTGGGGCCAGGGACCTTAGAGCTCCAGGGAGCTTGATGAATGTCTACACCAGGGAGGAGAGTAGGGAAGAAAGGAGCAGGAAGGAAGGTGTGGAGCTGAGAGTGCTCAGGGTTGAAGGAGGGCAGTAAAGGAAGGGTAATTAATACCAATGGAGCAATGGAAGGTTCCCTAAGAAAGGGTTTGTCGGATCTCTGTGAGGTTGAGGCCAGCCTGGTATACAAAGTGAGTTCCAGGACAGCCAGGGCTGTTACACAGAAAAACCCTGTCTCGAAAGAGAGAGAGAGAGAGAGAGAGAGAGAGAGAGAGAGAGAGAGAGAGAGAGAGAGAGAGAGAGAGAGAGAAGTCTGTAACTTCTTGTCAGAAGATATATTCTAAAGATAGACACTTGTGCCCCTCCCTTTGGCTAGTAGAATAGTGAAATAATCACAATCTTCCCAGGAATCTCATGCTGGGTGAAGGAAAAGGTTGAAGGAGGAAGCTGCTTTCCGAGAAGAGATTTCACAGTTTTGACAACTTATGGTCAGATCACCTTGCGCGCTGTATTAGAGCCCTAGTGATGAGTCAATGATAGGCCAGATCACACACAACCAGCACTGCTTAGCTACACATACTTTCTGCTCTCTAGTCAATCCTAATCGTCAGGTTAGATGGACTTGAGGGTCACTAGACCTCTTTATTTGTTCCTCTCCTCAGTGTGGCCACGTAGAGTAAATCTCCTTTCTCTGCTCTTCACTATTACTTGTGTCTTTAATTGGCATAAACAGAGACAGGTGGTAGATCCGATCTTGTTAGGACTGCCAGAGCCCAGGCTTTGATCCTAAAATCTCTAGTAACAGGCTCTCTGTCCAGAGCCATCCAGAGCTTTCCATTGTCAGTGCTCTTGGTTATTTCTTTCTGGTTGAGCCCAGGGCTGGTATGCGGGGAGCTGCTTGAAGTGTTAATTGTTCAGTGCTTTCCCATGATGGCCTGGGGCAGATCAGCTTCTTTTCCTAAGCAATGTGTAGCAAGACTTATCTTGCTAATCCAGAAATACCAAACCTGAGTGATTCCAGGGCTCAGGGTAAGAAAAGAGAACTAGGATCTGGGAAGCAAGGGAGAGAAAGGCATTTTGCAAATAGCTATTGGCTCCCTGGTAAAAGAGGCCACCACCTGGTTTGTGAAGCATGGAGAAAACAGCAATGTTTAGACTGCTTAGCTTAAATACACAGCTGCCCCACCTCTCAGCAACATCTGCTTCTGCATAAAGGACCTATTCTCTCTTTCAATCCTGCCTTCAATTTGTGTCAAGACTTTGGACTCCTTTAATGAACCTTTCTCCTGCCTCACCAGCTATTCCCTACTGACTATCTCCACCTTTCAAATTCACAGCAGAAAATGGAAGTTTTCCTCGACCCTATTCATCCCCCTTGGTCCTTTCCCTTTCTGTTCCTCTTTACAAGAAGAAATATCAAAGCAGATTTCTCTAGTTCACCTGCAATTCTCTCAATCCTCTTCTATCAAGTCCTTCTACTTCTGTCCACCGGCATGGTCGGATTCTCCTGGATTTTTGCCTCTGCTCCTTCTGTCTGGAAAGTTTTCCTTGGTTCTTTATATGGTACTGCTTTTATACCGTCCAGGGCTTAAATTAAATGCCACCTTCTTACCCACATTATTTGCAACCCCATCTTAACCTGCCGTTTATCCAAGTGTGATTACTTTCTCGCTTACTTATATTCTCTCTTGCTCCACTAGTAAGGGAGAGTGTGTGCACAACTGTGCTTGTATCTACAGCATTTGACACAGTACTTGGCACATGGTGAGGCTCACTGAACTGGAGGAGTGAAAGAAGGAGTCACTATGTGACGCTCTGTCCTAAGTGTTTTAGGAGTGATGGAAACCCCTCTGGATAAAGGCTCTTTTCCTTCTGTTCCGCATGTTAGTAAGGGGGAGAGGTCGTCGGTGGGTCTCTCAGCATGAGAACCAAGAGATCTGCAATCGCCGGCTGTAATGGGGTGTGCAGGTCAGCGAGGCCCCTGGAGAGGCGAGAGGCCACCTTGGCTGCCTCTCTTTGTTGCTCCCACCTCCCAGGCTCTGGCCGCGGCTGCCTGCAGTGACTCGTGACTCCCCGGCAGCTCGGGAAGGCCTACGTCCGCTAGGGAGGGGGCGGCGAGCGCCCCCAGCCCGCCCTCCGCGTGCCCTTCCCAAGCTAGCGGGTGCTCCGGGAAGCCGCGCCACCGCGGGCTCGCGGCCACCTCCCGCGCGCACCCGCGCACGCCTTGCAGGCAGTCGGGCCTCTCCCGAGGCGGGGCCCACGCAGCCGCGCCCCCCTTCCCGCGCTTGCCTGACCCGCTCCCGCGCGCGCGCGCGCGCCGCTTCCCCGCACCGCAGCCCCCGAGAGAGCCACGGGCAGAGCCCAGGCGGACGCGCGCTCCGCCCTGCCCCACCCCGCCCCGAGTGGGCCGCGCCCGCCCCCGCCCCCGCGCGTGCTCCCTCCCTCCCTCCCTCCCTCCCTCCCTCCCTCCCACTCCCGTGCGCCCCTCCCCGCGCGCCCTACATCCAGCGCCTGGCCGAGGGGGCTCAGTCCGCAGTCGCCGCTGTCGCCGCCGCGCTTTGGCCTCGGAGCTGGCAGCGGCCACTGGTGCCGCCTAGACAGCTGCGCGGGTGAGCATCCCCAGACAGTAAGCCCGCTTTCCCTCCGGGTGTGCGGGTGCACCTCCCGCGTCCCCGGGGAGCCGCAGCTCAGTGCTCGGCGGCCGCCGCTCGGGCTTGCGCCGACCTGCAGGGCTTGAGTACCTGCGGCCTCCGGCCTCGGCTGGGGGCCTCGCCCACGCGGGGGGCTGCGGAACCCAGAGCTCCATGGTCCCTTAGGGTGCGTGTCTCGGCCTCTTCCCCGGGGGGTTTCGCTCCCCTGGGGGGTCGGGATTCAGAGTGGGTGGCTCTGGGTCTTTCCTCTGCAAGGATGGAGGGTTGTAGTAAAAAGAGGGGGCTTTTGGTTTTCTCACCCAGGATGGCGGGCAGTGGGGGGTGGGGCGAAGTGGGAATACCTTTGAATTTTTTTTCCTTTTCTTTTTAAAGGATAGCTTGCAGCAGTTGAGAGTAGCAGGCAATGATGATGATGATGACGACGACGATAGCGATGTGGGGGGTGGGGGGTGGGGGTGCCTCGTTGGTTTTCCATTAAGGATGGCGCCTGTTGGGCTGGAGAGGAAGGTGGAACCTGCCTTGGCTCCTTCCATAGAGGTGTTGAGGGAGCTGCGTGGTGGTTTTCCCTTTGGGGATGCTGGGGGGTGGAAGGAGGGGAGTGCAAGGAGAATGGTGAGGGAGGGAGAGGGCTGGTTGCGTGGTTCTGCTCTCCAAGGGGAATGGCAGGGACGTGGGGAATGGGGGTGGGGAGAGGGGACTGGATTTCAGCTCTAGCATGGAAGGAAGCAAGGGGAAGGTTCTAGCACTTGGGTTGAGTCTTGGTTGAGCCTTAGCAAGGTGGGTTAGGAAAACTGCTTGCTGGGTGTGACCTTTCTATTTCAAAAAGCTTGAAATTCCCACTACATGCTGTCCTGGGCTCTGGGAAAGAGGTTTCTGCTTCCAAAGTTCCCATTGCTTAGCACAACTGGGTAGAGGTTTGAATCAGAAAGGCTAAAGGAAACACTGAGTATGCTGTATTATTTTCTGCATTTGGGCCTTTTGAGTTTCTCAGGCTCATTCTGATTACAGTGACCCCCACAAGTAGGGTGGCACATTGGGAACAGGAGACAAGAAAGTATGAATGTGATTTCAGATTTGGTTTTTGAATTTCCTGAAGGGCAAGAGTGGGACAAATGTCTTTGCTGGAAACCCTCTGTACTCGTCTTTAAGTTATGCCATTGGGACCAAGCCTCCTTTGATTTGAAGTTGGAATAGATCCAGTTTTCCTAATTGGAGCTATCATTTTGTAATTGCTTGTAATTCTCCATGTTAGCAAATGTATTTTGAGTTTATAAAATACTGGGAATATTTTCGTTATCTTGATTAAGGCTGTTTTAATATAAATGTAATGTTTTAAAATGTAATGAGAATATTTACAGAATAGCACAAGTTTAAATTATGGGTCATGTGGAATTGGGTAAAGCATTCCCATCCTTGCCCATCTCCAGGAACCGGCCACTCCCCATTCCATACACTTGAAAAAAATCAAGGGCTTGGGGTTGGTAGTTTGTCTTTGGAAATTCATGTCCATATTTGCTTAAGAAGAATGTGCATTAAAAAGCTGTGGGCCTTAAATGTGCAACGACTATAATGCTTTTCCACTTTGGTTACATACGGTTCCAATCTAGCCTACCTTCAGTCTTTACAAACATGTATTTAACATTTTTAAGGGCAAATAGAATCTTTATGCAACAGGAAATTTGTTAGATAGGCCATGATTTGTACAAACCACCACACAGAAAGTACGCATTCTAATAATACCATATAGATTCTGTAACCATACATGGCTTTTGAAATTCTAGGCTTCCATTCCAACATTTAATTTTTTGGAGAAGGAAAATATTTATTTTTCTAGCAAGTCTAGATTTGGGGATGAAATCTAGACTTTTTGTGTAACATGCAAATTGGTACAAATTCCTCTTGTGTGAGTTCTTTGGAGATAATTTAATATGCATTAAATGAATGGATCACTTGAATAAGATATCGACTTTGTTTATTGCAAATGTTAAAACTAGAAATGTTTAAGTGGAAATAGCACATGGGTCTACATGATTAACAAAAATGCATTTACTTGTGCTGTTGCGTATACCATTCTAATGTTTAATGTGGTGTGTGTTCTGCACCAAGGCAATAGTGAGAAAGAGCATATTTTCACAATATAATTTAAGCCTTGTGCTTTTTCCTTTGAGAAATAAGAATGCTGAACGTGGTTAAAAAAAATTCTCTTAAAAGGAGCAGTATGTTGGTGGGAAAATGGGCCTTAAGTTTCTCTCTAAACAAAAGGAGCAAAGGGGGTCTTTCTGTTGGCTTTTTGAGGACCTGTTGTAAAATGGGAGGGAAAAAAGATGAAGAACTTTCAGAAATTAGCAGTCTGACGAAATAGTTGTTCTAAATAATCTTAAAGATTTGGCTAGTTATTGATTGGAAAAGTAACTTGTAAATCAAGCCTTTGTGTAAGAAACTGAGCATCGGGCCTTCAGTTAGGATATTTATTTATTCATTTGTTGTAGTACTGGGATGGAACCCAGGGCCTCACACATGCAGAGCAGGCGCTGTTATCATGGAACAACATCCCTAGCCCAAGTTTAGACATTAAAAACAAATAATTTGTTGAAGGCATGGCAGCTAATCTCCTGAGGCTGTGCCCTGTTTTCCTAATCTCTTCCTCCTGGTTCTCCTCTCCCCCCTCCCCCTCCCTCCCCCTCCCCCTCCCCCTCCCCTCTCCCCCCTCCCTGGTGCCAGCAGCATTGGCTTTTATAACCTTGTGAGAGTTGAACAAATGTGCCTGCTTGCTTGAACTTTAGTTGTTATCTTGCTGGCGGCTTTCCTTAACTTTTGTCTACACTTTTTTGTTAATGTTGTTGTTAACCGAACTACCCAGTTGTTTGGATTTGGGATAAAAGGGAGTATGTTGTAGTTATTTTTCTTAAGAGATTTTTTTTTCTTTCAACTCCTGTTGAACATAGGAAAAAAAAGTTTCTCTCTCTCTCTCTTTCTCTCTCTCTCTCTTTCTCTCTCTCTCCCTCCCTCCCTCTCCCACCCTCTCCCTCCTCCTCCCCCTCCCTCCCTCCCTCCCTCCCTCTGTCTCTGTCTCTGTCTCTCTCTCTCTCTGCCAGCACAGTGCCTAATTAAGCAGAATATATGACCAGATACCAAGTATTTAAGAAATCTCTCCTGCCTTTGTGGTGTGACTATAGAAAAGTAAAGTATAGACGGTTAATCTGTTGTGAATAATTAAGCCATGTCTGGAGTCTTTGAATATCCACATAGTAGCTGTGTATACGTTTAACATTCTTCTGTCCTGCCAATAGTCATTTCTTTCCAGTGTCTTTTGCTTGAGACATAGTTTTCATTTTGGGTAATACAAATAGCTTTGGATTCAACCAATTAATTGTTGAAAATATTTACAAAATTGACATCTTTATTAAACATTTATAGACTTTCCTTTGTTGTATGAAAACTGCATAGTATTCACATGGTATTGGAAAGCCTAAGTAATTTAAGGTGATTTAAAGTGTATGAGAAAATGGTGTAGATTATATGCAAATTACAATGTAATTTTATATGAAAGACTTGGTCATCTATGGATTTTGCTATCTATAGGTTGGTTCTGGAACCACTCACTCATTGATACTGAGAGACTGTGTCTTAGAGTTTATGGATTTTTTCTTTTAATTTTTTTTGTTACTATTTTTGAGCCAAAGTCTCCTGTACTTCAGGGTGACCTTCAACTCTCAATCCTCCTGCCTCTGCTTCCTAATTGCTGGGAATACAGGCATGTACCACTGTGCTCATTTTTCTTTTTTAATTAGTCAATATAATTGTATGTATTATGAGGTACAGTGTGATAAGTTGATACATAGATACAATGTGTTAAGATATTTTCTATAAATCAAATGGAACATATCAGATTAACTGATGTTTAAATTCACCTTTCTTATTTTCTTAGATATCTTCTTACTATGTAGCTGTGGCTCTCTTGGAGCTCACTCTGTAGACCAGGCTGGCCTTGAACACATAGAGATCCACCTGCCTCTGTTTCTGAGTGCTGGGATTAAAGGCGTGTCTAAATTTATCTTCCCATTATTGTGTACCATAGTGAGAAGTGGATGACCAGCCTCCCTTCCTATGATTTAAAATGTTTTCTAATGGCAAATTGAGACCCCCAAATTATTTTTCTGTAGTCAGTTTTGAATTATAGTTTGTCATGGATGATGGAGCCCAGAAGAGTTAATAGTATTTAATAGTAGCTTGATAAACCTTTGATCTTCTGCAGAGTACCATCTGAGATCTTAGAGAACCCTTCTGTTTGTGGAATGTGCTGGACTAGTGGTTTTCATCCCCCGGGAATTCACCACACGGGAGTCAACTGGACAATGCCCAGGATTTTTTTTTTCCAGATGCACTTCCTGGAATCTTGTCACTAGAGGCCAGGGATGTTACTTAAATATCCTAGAACTCATAGGGCAGCAACCCCAGCATAAATGTGTCCAGCTTGAAGTCTCAGTAATGCCAAGGTTGATGTAATTTCCTCTGAAAACACAGGAACACATAATTTCAGAAGAGGAAAGGACAATAGCAGTGTGACCCTCTAGAGTCCTCGGCTGAGTTCATTTGATTAGACTTCAAAGTGGCTAGTTCCTGCCTACCAAACTGAATAATTAGAATAACAGCTTGTGTTTATGGCACTCTGTTCCAGGTACTTGCATACATTACATATTTCTCTTACTTGGAAAATGAGGAGCAAGGTTTGGAGAGGTAAAATAAGTTGCCCAGGGTCTCACTGCTGATTAGCCTCGGAAGTAGAGATGAAAATCTTCTGAAGTTCACGGTCTCCCTTGTGGTGAGCACCATTCAAAAATCTTAACTAACAAAATTTTAAATGCTATACAAGTTCATTGGTACATATAGACACTCTCATTTCCAAGGTTTTTTTTATAATAAAAATAGTATAGTATTGAGAAAATTGAAAATTACTT